GAAGGCTAATGGAGCTGGCTCTGGTGGAGCAGAAGGTTTGTTTTCACTTTTATCCCAGCCGCCATTTATCGGATTCTCCTCTTTAATCTCAGCCTTTGCTCCTCAGGCCCCACGACTGTTTCCTTGCCCCATCTTCTCCCAAGATAAATACCGCTCCCCAATTGTACCGAGTGCACTCACTTAATTTCTCCAGCGGTGTCCTTCACTTTTTCCCCTACTTTTCAGATCCCTGTTCCAGGCGCCACTTGCTGGTGCCAGCCGGCCAAGACGGACAGTACCTGAAAGGAGGAGTGAGGACTGAAAGAAAAGAACAAGAGACAGAAAAGATGCTTGGGAGGACTGACAGTAAATACTGCAGCCCCGGTTTATTTCACCTCCACCTTTTTATACAGAAGAACTCAATTAGTTTCCACAGCTGTTTTCCCCACCTGTATCTGAGGGTCAAGGAGCGGTCAGATCAAAGCCTTCTTTCATCTTTTTGTTTACCACTATTGCCTCAAGGTCAGGTGTTGTGAGGCTCTCCATATAAACATATTCCTCCTGAATAGGTAGATTAAGTACTGGTATGTATAACACAAACTCAGTAAACAAGGCTGCCACACCTCAATGCACATAATAGATTAGCAGCTCCCAACATCTCCCCCTTCTTTTTTTATTTTTATAACCCCAGATTCTGCTATATCTGGGACAGAAGGACTGTGCCTGTCTTAGGTTGTCTTATTCCTCCTGATTAGGCAGATTAGGTACTGATGTGCATAACACAAACTCAGTAAACAAGCCTGCCACAGCTCAATGTACATAATAGACTAACAGCTCCCAACACCCTAGCTCAGTCCCAAATGTAGCATCAGAACCCTAAGAGGTGCAGGCAGGTCCCTGCAGGAGAGCCTGCTGGTAGCCTGTGGTTGATCGCTGGGGCAGTGACATGGTCTCCCCTCAGGTGGAGCGGGAGATTGCCATCCTGAAGCTCATCGAGCACCCACATGTCCTGAAGCTGCACGACGTCTACGAAAACAAAAAATATTTGTAGGTATTGCTGGGCCTGGAGCGCTGGGGAGGCTGGCGTGGGTGGGCTTATAGAGGTGCAGGCTGCCCTCACCGGTAGAGAGCTGGCTGTTGTGGTGCTGGCAACCGGCAGAGGTGGGTGGGGCTCAGCCCTGGCCACGGAATCCACTGCTTCCTGACTAGACCTGAGGAGCACTAGGCTGTCGGGCCTTGAGGCCTGTGATGGGGAGGGCTTCATGGGAGGAAGGTTGGGAGCATCCAGGGGCCTCCTAACACTGCTCCCTCCTGTGTGGCTTCTCTGGGGCTACCTTGACCCCCACAACTCCCACTGTCTCCCAAGACCCAGTCTCAATGAGATTGCCTGAGCATGGAGTGGAGGGGTGGCTGGGAGGCCAGGGAGCAGGGCCTGAGTGCCTCAGAGGTGAGGCCTGCATAGGGGGTGAGCGTGGCTGCCGTATGTTATTGTGACCAAATACCCGACAAGAGAAGGGGTTGTGTCATGCTCATAGTTTGAGGGTGCGGTCCATAATGGTCGTGGGGGGGTGGCAATGGAACCAGCTTTCTCATATCTGGGCAGATGAGGCACAGAATGATCACTGGTGCTCAGCTGGCTCCCTCCCCCTTCAGTCCTACACCACAGCCCATGGGGAGGTGCCACTCATATTCAGAACAAGTCCCCTTCCCACCCAGAAATCTCTCTGGGAATGCCCTCACAGACATACCCATAGGTGTGCCTCACTGATGACCCTGCCACCATGGGTAGTGGGCAAGGGGACCAGAGGCCGCAGGACTTCTGTCCCTGGGGGGTTAGCCTGAACAAGTGGCTGACTCTCGTTGTTTACCTGGAGAGACTGAGGGCTCCTCAGAGCTGAGGATGGGTAGCAGGGTGGGGAGCAGTAGACAGAGCACCAGCCACCACAGGCCTGATGGCTGGGCAGGTGATGCTCCTGGACCTCTGTGCTGGTAGGGAGAGTCTGAGGAGGTGCTCTGCTGAGGCAGTGTTGAGCCTCTGCCCGTGTCCCCTACTTCCGCTGGTCCCAATGTGGCTCCTCTGTGGGGGCTGCCTCTACCCCAACTCCTACTGGGTCCCCTGAGGCTTGCTCACAGGGCTTGGAACCCCAGGTCAGCTGACCATCGCTTTCATACCCGGCCCTCTGCCCAGGCCACAGAGGGTCCATGGGTCCCTTGGGGCAGGGCTGAGTGGCTGTGCTGTCTGCCCCGGTGAGAGCTTCCAGGAGCCATGGCTGGGCCCCCTCGTGGTCTTGCTCTGGGCCTCATACCCCTCTTGTCTGACCAGGCAGCAGGAGGATGGGCAGGGGCTGTGCACCGGGCCATGGTGCCCGCACTCATGCCTCCCACCTGCCCCACAGATACCTGGTGCTAGAACATGTGTCTGGGGGGGAGCTGTTTGACTACCTGGTGAAGAAGGGGCTGCTGACCCCCAAGGAAGCCCGCAAGTCCTTCCGACAGATCATCTCTGTGTTGGACTTCTGCCACAGCCACTCCATATGGTGCAAGCCGGGCCAGGCTGGGTTGGGCCTTTGTCCCAAGTGTGCAGCAGGGTCCCCACTGGTTCCCTCTAGGAGCCCACCCAGGCTCCATCCCTGCATGTGTGCCCATTGGAGGGCAGGAGGACACCTCACCCCTGTCACCCAGGCCAGGCAGACTACTTAGTGTTGGCTGCCACTGACCTGCTCACAGACAGGAATCTGGAGAGAGGAACAGCCTCCATGAGGGGGTCAAAGAGGGGCAGGGCCCCAGTCAGGCTCACCTGGGTCTTCCTCCCCAGTCACAGAGACCTGAAACCAGAAAACCTGCTTCTGGACGAGAAGAACAACATCCGCATTGGCGTCCCTGCAGGTGGGCAACAGCCTGCTTGAGACAAGCTGCGTGAGTGGCGCCCCCACAGGCCCAGGACATGGCCCCAGGGGCAGACAGCTTGGTCATGGCTGACTAGACTGGACAAGCCTGTGGCTGCAGAGCTGCTGGGCATTCTTCTGGGAAACCTGAGGACTTGCTCTCAGAGCTGCCGACAGGAGGCAGGACTCTGCCCTATAGTGGGGATGTGATGAGACCCTCTGCCTGGCACCAGTATTTGCCCTCAGTAATAGCAGGGAGAGTTCATGTCCCTGGTCTCCCTGGCTCTGGATGAATGGGCAGCCAGGTCCGAGCACAGCAGTGCCCAAGCTCCAGACCTCTGTCCCCAGCGGAGCATATAGGACATTTAGGTTGGGGGCACTTGGTTTCAAAGCCTGCCAGTCTGTTGGAGCCAGCCCAGCCAGGGACCCGACAGAGCAGGACTTCTATAGGGAGAGCCTCAGAGGGTCCAGGGTAACAGGTCTAGACTGTGCATCCTGACCTCCTGGTCTCTGACCTGCTGTCTTTGCCCTCAGATCCCCACACTATGCCTGTCCAGAGGTGATTCGGTAAGTGGCCATGGGGTTCCCTGTGGTGGAAGGGCCTCCTTGTGCTGCTGCTGCTGAGCAAGACTCAGCTCAGCTGCCTCCCCTCACACCCACCACATCAGACCCACCACCTCACAGCCATCCTCACACCCACCTCCTCACACCCACCACCTCACCCCCACCAACTGACACCCACCTCCTCAAACCCACCAACTCACGCCCACCTCACACTCACCACCTCACACCCACCACCTCACACCCACCTTCTCACACCCACCCTCACACCCACCACCTTGCTGGTGGTGAGCCCCTCCAGCCCATGCTCCTGCCCCTTCCCTGTCCCTTTCCAGCCACACGTGCCCTCTTCCCAGCCCTTCCCCTATGCCACCTGCCCTTGGTGACTGATGTCCTGCCTGTCACAGGGGGCACTGCCCTTCAATGATGACAACCTGCGGCAGCTGCTGGAAAAGGTCAAGAGGGGCGTGTTCCACATGCCGCACTTCATCCCTCCCGACTGCCAGAGCCTACTTCGTGGCATGATTGAGGTGGATGCGGCACGGCACTTCACGGTACGTCCTGCCTTTCTGTCGGCCCTGGCCGGGGCTCGAGTGCAGGGAGCCTGGCCCTGTGCACTCCCGTCTTCCCTTCTCCACACGTTTCCCGGACCTGTCCCATCCTCAGATAGCCCTGCACCCATGGGGCCAAGCTTCCATCTCTAGCACCTGCTCCCTGGCACTTTAGGAAGAGGCTTCTTGGTGTGGATGGGTGAGACCATCCATGCCCATGTGTGTGCTGCAGGGGGCATTGCATGCACAAAAGTGTGAAGGTGGAGGTATGGGTCTGTTTTCCAGCATGTGTGTGTAGGTGTAGAGGGCCTGTGCCCAGTTGTGTGTAGGGTGAATGCCCGTGTGTGTCACCTGTGCACAACTATGCATGTGTGCCCAGGTGTGTGTGGGACCTGTGCCTAACTACATGGGGGGGGGTTGCCAGTTGTGTGTAGGGCCTGTGCACAGCTGTGTGGGAAGTAAGTGTGTGCCCAGGTGTGTGGGGCCTGTGCCAAGCTGTGTGGGGAATGTATGCCTGGGCATGAGAGGCCTGTGCCCAGCTGTGTGAGGAGTGAGTGCCTGGGTGTGGGGGTGCCCAGCTGTGTGGGGAGTATGTGCCCGGGTGTGAGGGGCCTGTGCTCACCTGTTTGGGGCGTGTGTGCTCAGTTGTGAGGGGCTTGTGCCCAGATCTGAGGAACGTGGGCATAGTGAGTGGTAGGCCTGTGCCTGTGAGTGAGTGGTTCAGGTGGGGTCTGGAGGGATCCCCTTTACTATCGTCCTGTCCCTGTGACACCCTTCTGGCATGCCTCCTGACAGTATGAACTCAACTCTGTCAGCTACTTGGGGGAAAGGCCTGAGGGAAGCCCCAGCAACGTGATTGTGCCACATAGCATCTGCCCGTGTGAGGGAGGCAAGATGCCCTGTGGGCTGACATTTTCTGGAAGAGGACCATCTGCCCTCTGCCCCAAAGCAAACTGTTCCTATCTCTTGGGTCAGGATGGAGAGAAGGCTGTAGCTGGCCGCCCTGGCCTCTTGCCCATACTGCACCCAGCCCATCTCAGCCCCCTGGCTTCCTCCTGGGCTGGTTTCCAGTTCCTGCCCTTTGATCCGAGAGGGTCCAGCCAGGCAGCGCAGGCACCCCAGGGCTCTGCTCGCTTCCCTGTCTCTCCTCCCTCCCTGGATCCCTGGCCTTTTCTGGAGCCCTGCTCCCCACCTCCAGCCTCTTTCCCTGGCTGCATCTCTACATCTGGGAGTGGCGGGGACAGGGATGCTGGCCTGGGCCTCTGGGAATGCAGCCTCTCCCCTGCCCTCTCCTTCTCCTGCTCTGGACCCCCACCTCCTAACATGGGCTCCCCCTGTACTAACCCCCTGTTTCTCTTTCCTTGTAACTAGAGCACATTCAGAAACACATATGGTATATGTAAGTAGCTTCTCTGCCCACTAATGCCTGCTTTGCCCGTTGCTGTGGCCTATAGGGCCTGTTAGGAACGGGGGAGGGTGCCGGCCAGCTCAGGGCTGCCCCAGCCTCACTGAGTGGCTGTGGCAGGACACAGAAGGGCTGCAGGGCTGGGTGCAGGGACAGCAGCAGGACTTGGGCTCTGGTGAGGGTGGGCCTCCCACCTTCCTGGCCACCTCAGGGTGGGTAGAATTGCTTCGGGATAAGCTGGAAGTGAGTGACTGCTTCTGGGTACCCTGTCGCCCACAGAGGAAGCAAGAACAAGCCAGAGCCAGAGCAGCCCATCCCAGCCTGGAGGACATCAACCCCGACGTGCTGGACAGCATGCACTCACCAGGCTGCTTCCGAGACCGAAACAAGCTGCTACAGGACCTGCTGTCTGAGGAGTAGGTTGGGGTGGGGATGGCTGGCTTGCCCACTGGTTGCCCCAGGCTCTAGCTACTCTGGGAGGTGCCCTTGTGGTTCCCACATGCACCCTCCCAGGCAGGTGGCCACAGCCAGAGTCCCTGAATAGCTTCTGATGGGTACAACACATCAGGAGTACTCTCCATGTGCTGACACCCTGCAGGGAAAACCAGGAAAAGATGATTTATTTCCTCCTCCTGGACCCGAAAGAAAGGTATCCCAGCCACGAGGACGAGGACCTGTCCCCCAGGAATGAGATAGGTATGAGGCCTTCAGCCCACCCTGTGTCCCCTGGGCCTAGGTGGCTACCCAGCCTGACCCCTGTATACACACAGATCCTCCCCGGAAGCATGTGGACTCCCCAATGCTGAACTGACATGGCAAGCGGAGACCCGAGCGCAAATCCATGGAAGTGCTCAGTGTGACAGATGGCAGTTCCCCAGTGCCCGCACGGAGAGCCATTGAGATGGCCCAGCGTGGCCAGAGGTACGTGCCTGCCCCTGGGGCCCAAGCCTCCTGCTTTCATGGCTGGGCAGCATCAGCCCTACTAGACTACACATGGTCTGGTCCTGTTGGTCTCTGCCCACTGACCTTGGGGTATGGACTGAGGCTGCTGGCTAAGCTGGAGTGCGCTGTGATAGGCATGCTGGCTGGCTGTGTGGACTGAGCTGGACTGCACTGGCTGAGTTGGGCTGCACTGGACTAAGCTGGACTGGACTGGCCTGGGTTGGACTTTGCTGCACTGAGCCAGACGGAGTTGAGCTGGACTGGACTAGACTGGGCTGGACTAGACTAGACTGGACTGGACTGAGCTGGGCTGGGCTGAACTGACATAGACTGAACTAGACTAAAGTAGACTGGCTTGAACTGGACTGACCTGTGCTGGTTTGGACTCAGGTAGTCTGGCCTGGATTAAGCTGAGCTGTTCTAAACTGGACTGAGCTGGATTGGACTGGGTTGGGCTGGACTGGACTGAACTGAGCTGGCTTGCACTAGACTGGGCTGTATTGGACTGGGTTGAGCTGGGCTGAACTGAGCAACTAGACTGGACTGGATTGGGCTGGGCTGAGTTGGACTGAGCTAGACCTAGGTGGTCTGTTCTGGACTGAACTGGACTGGGGCTGGGCTGCAATATGGTGCAACTATGTTCAGAGGCCCCTGCCTAGTCCCTCCCTGGTGCTCAGCCATCTGCAGGTGGCTGCCAGCAGCAGCGCTGTGGGCAGGATTTGCAGTTCAGGGGAGTCATGAGCAGGTCTCAATTGTCCCAACTAGATGCCTGCAGAGGAAGGGCACCCAGAGCCTGCAAAACCTGTCCTGCCATGGGAGGAGGGCTCCCCTCCAGCTAGGGGTATTGGTCAGCTGGGAGCAGGCCTGGAGCCTGGGACATCCCACAGCCCCAGCCAGCAGAGGTCAGCACTGCACTCTGCACCTAGCACCCATCGCTCTTTCCCACTGCTAGGAGCTTGGGTGCTGAAGCAGGCCAGGTCTGCCCTTGAGTTTTTCCAGGACTGGGAACCAGGAGATGGCGAAGTGGTCGTAGGGTAGTGAAGTCTCTCCAGGCCCGGTAGACAAGGGGGTTAGGCGGTCCCAGGCCTGTAGTGCACATAAGCGGACCTGCTCAAAACAGCCAGCAGGAGTCACAGCCTGCTGGATTCCTGTGAAAAAGTTGCCCTGGCCAAAAAGCTGGTCATAGTTCCAATCTATAAATCCAGGTGGTGGATCCTGTCCTTGCTGTGGTCTTAGTTGTTGATTATGTGTGTCATTTCTTTTAACCTACAGGGTAGGGCTTCCCTAGCTCTCCTAACCCACTAGTTCTGAGGTCCTCCCTGCAGATCAGGTCTCGCTCAGGCTCTGACCGCATGGATCCACCCCTTGAGGGGTTCCTTCCAACTCTCCAGCCAGTCATGGCTGGGTCCCTCCTGGCCATGCTTGTACCTAACCCTTCTCTGGGACCCCGCTTCATGTGGATGTGCCTCACCTAAGCAGGACTCTCCCAGCAGCTCTTGTGCACCCCATCTGCTCAAGTGGTGGTTGCCGCTCCCTGGCCTGAACCCCACAGATGGCCGAGGGTGGATACTCTGCCTTTCCACACTGAAAGCCTGAGTGAGCTTCGAGGCCAGGCTGTGAAGGATGGGCCCATCTGTGGGGTGGCAGCTGTCCCCAAGGGACTCTGGAAGGTCCTTTGTCCTGATACATCCAGCCGACTTCTGCTCTGGCTTGACCACTTGGCACTGGGCTAAGGTGATGCTGCTGGCTGGGACAGAAGAGGTTCTATGGCTGGTGGGAGTCTAGACATCCTCCAAGTCCTGGCTAACGCCCTGCCCAGCAGGTCACCCAGGGCAGACTGTGCTGTGGCTCCTGCCCCATCTCTCTCTTCATCTCTGTGCCTGAGGTGGACAGGCCATGCCCTGCCTTGGAGCAGCATGGAGGGCTTCCCCAGTGTGGCTGCGCAGCAGATGGCCCAACGGCTGACCTGCGTGCGTGTGGCCGCAGCTGTAACTCTGTTTTCTCGCTTTGTTCCTGCTGTAGTAAGGTAGTGTTCAGTAAAAGCCTGGATATCACTGAAGCCCGTCCCCAATTCAGCAAAGAAGACAGGTGTACACCCTGCCCGTACGCCCCGACCTCCCAGCCCCAGATGCAGGGCACCTGCCTGAGCTGGGCAGACAGAGGCAGACCCGGAGACAGGACTTGCTATGAGATACCTCTGCCTCTCCTTTCTGGGAAAGAAACCATCCAGCAGGCTGAGGGAAGGGCCTGGCCAGCTATGAGGAGTCAAGGAGGGGTGGGGTTGCTGGGGCAAGGCTCATGGCCAGCCCAAGGCAGAGACCCATGCACTTAAGGCTTGCACAGGCTAGGGGCTGAGGCACCACCCTACTCCCCCTACAGACCTGCCTCATGGCTGCAGACCTGCCATCCCCTGCCGGCCTTTGTCCTCTGTCTAGGTGGCCCTGCTGGCCTCGGGTGTGGGAGCAGCCCTGCTAACCACATGGGCCAGCCAGTCTAGCTGAAGTGGCTAAGTGTCCGAGGCCCTTGGCAGGTGGCAACAGGCCCCTGACAGCTGCCGTCAACACATGCTGCCTGCTTAGATGGCCACATCCTGTTGGGTGCCATACCACCCCTGCACCTGCCTGTGCCCCCTTCCTGCTTGCCTTTACCTACCCTGGCTGCCCTCAGGGCCGGTACCATCTTTCTTGCCTTGGGCTGCAGCTCAACTCCAGCACTGCTGGCCAGAGATGAGATCGCTGCGGCCCCCACCATTTCCAGCTTCCCTTCTTCTGCCCTTGTGCCCAGCAATGTGCTCCTGGCTGGTGTGCTGGCATCTGGGCTCCAGGCCTTGCTGCTTGTGGCTGCACCCCTCCCCCCCATCCCTTGGTGTGGCCATCTCCATCTTCTTCACCCCTTTTCAGGACCCTGCTCCCAGCTGCACACCTGGGTCCCAGCTAGGTCCCTGGTGCTGCTCTGGCCCAGGCATGCTTGCCGACCACGGGTCTCCACTGCCCCTTGGGCTTCTCTCAGTACTAGGTTGGGGAGGCTTGGAGGTCCTGGCCATAGGGCCCTGGCTACAGGTGCTCCGAGATCTGGCAAAGGGCCAACAGAGGCCAGGGACTTGGCCCATCAGATGTTCTGCAGCCCAACAGCCGGACCAGGTGGGGCCAGAGACCTGTTGTGGCCAGTCTGGCTGGTGGCAGGCAGGCTGGGGCAGTGCAGGCTGGTCTGGTATTCTCTCCTCTCCCGTGGCTGTGCCCTACCCTTAGCTACCCCTTCAGGGATGGCAGGTCCCACTGCAGGGGGTGAACCTGTGTTTTAGTGTCCCTTCTCGTGGTGTGGCAGAGTAAAGGCCTGGTCACTGCCCTGCAGGGCAGCTGCTTACCTGTGTTGCAATGGACACACAGGACCAGCGCCTGTCCCCAGCTGTGCCCGGGCTAGGTCTTCAGCCCAGTGGGGCAGTGGTGGGTCAGGATGAGGGCTGTAGGCTGGCCCTGGGCATCTCTTGTGGGTAGCTATGGATGTGAAGGGGCTGGGCAAGTGCCCAGTGTATAAGCCACATGCTAGATGCTGTAACAGTTAAGCCTTAGAGAGGCTGGGCTTGGGTGCCAGGGGTCAAGACTGCACAGGGCTGGATCCAGTTCACAGGAAGCCCACGTCTTGTGCCCTTGCTCCTCTGTCCACACAGTGCTTGTGGACCCTTGCCCAGACCTTGGTACCTCTCGTGCCAGGTCTGGGCCACTGGTGGGTGGCTCCTCTGTGTGGGCAGGAGCCCCAGGGACCCTGGATACATATTGGATACTGACCAATGAAGTAAGCAGGATGGCCCCTGTTACAGCCGTGTCTCCAGAGACCTTCCTGGGCATGGCAAGAGCCTCGGAGCTCCTGGAAAAGCCACCAGGGGGGCAGGAGCTGCGAGGCTCCTCCTGCTGACTCAGCACTTTAGTTTGTACCCCCAGGTCTCGGTCCATCAGCAGTGCCTCTTCAGGCCTTTCAACGAGTCCACTCAGCAGTCCCCGGATGAGTCAATGCCCCACCCCAGCCTCACATGACAGGGCTAACCTCAGCTAACAGAAAGGGACCCCCCAACTAGAGTGCCCCCAGGGGAAGGGTGGGGCCTCCTCGGACTGGAAAGCAGACGCCCACCCCGTGCACGCAGGCCTCCTCCATGGGTGCCCTCCTGGCTGCTGCGCTGCCTCTGGGCTCTTGCTAACTGCATGTTCTTTTGTTTTGTGTTGTCACGTTTGTGACACGTTGTGTGTCACGTTTTCTTTTGTGAAAACCCTCCCCTCGGCTGCCCTCTCCCCCTGGTCCTGCTTGGGGTCCTGCCTGAACGCTTTTCTGATCCTGGCTGCTGTGTGTGCACGTGGGTGGGGCGGCACGGGCGGCGTTTCACCATCATCCCACCTGTTCCCACTCTGTGCCCTTGTAGCCTGTTAGAAAGTTTGTCCTGCCTCTCTGTCCCCTGAACCCCCCTTTGTGGCCCGCCCCCTGGCCACCTCCGTGGAGCCCGAAGCTTGGTGCACCTCACAGCCCGGATACGTCCTCCCTCCACAGGCTGCCCTGCGGCCCAACCCCAAGACACAGACCTTGCCAACCTTGCTGTGCAAGGCCAAGCTGACTGACAAGCGGCTGCAGGGCACCAAGTCCAACCCGCTCCCAGCCTGCACCCAGGCCTGGCCTCCTGGAGCCAGCGGTGGCCCTTGGCTGGCCCTGGCCTCTGGGCCCCCCACCCGGGTGGCCCCTGCCCGGCTCCTGTCCATCAGGACAGAACCAAACACCAAATCTGTCCCCACCATACAGGTGACCCCTCACCCCTCACCGAGGGGTAGCCCCCTTCCTACCCCCAAAGGGATGCCTGTCCACACACCAAAGGAGAGCCAGCCTGCACACCTAACCCCACACCATGGTCCAGCCCCAGCGTTAGAGGGGTGCCCTGGTGGACGCAACTCAACTCCATCAAGAACAGCTTCCTGGGCTCACCCCGCTTCCACCGCCGGAAACTGCAAGGTTGGTGCCAGGGTAGGGTTGGCTGGATGGGGGAAACTTCATAGAGGGTCCTGTACTGCCCAGATGGAACGTGCCTATAGTTGGCAGATCTCACCTCAGGAACATTATCCTCTGAATCCACCCTGCACCCCATTCCTCCCAGACTCCATCCGTCCCATCATCCAGGCAGTAGCTCTGTCCAGAAGGCCTGCCGAGAGGTCAGGGATTCTGCAGGTCCTGGACTGAGGCTCCAGCATGGATGGCACCCTGAGCCAGGGGCTGGACTGGGATTGGCCTCCCAAGGGGACACCCATGGGACCAGGAGCACTCACCTACCTTCTCCCTGCCCTTCCCTGTGCAGTTCCCACACCAGAGGAGACGTCCAACCTGACGCCAGAGTCCTCTCCAGAGTAAGTGGCTTTGCTGGAGGATGGTTATGGCGGGGGTGGGGTCAAGGATCCTTCCACAGGGCAGGGGTAACTGCCTGAGGACTTCCTTCTGGCCCCTGGCCTGGCCTCCTTGGGCCGGATTCAGCTTGTCAAGTCTCTGTGAGCTTTTGTCCTGTCCACATGAGGAGGCCAGTTGGGGGAATTGCCCTAACTGCTCAGAAGTCACAGAGGAGTCTGAGTTATGGGCAAGTGAGGGTGAACAGGGCTTCCCAGGGATGGTAGGTCTCAGGGAGAAATGGGCCTGTGCTGAAGAAGAGAGACAACCATAGGATGGAGGGCCCAGGGAAAGCACTGGGGGCCTGGTGGAGGCACCTATGTTGCTTGGGAGGTCCTGGCAGAGGCTGGGGACAGGTACGTGCCTTCCTAGCTCTCAGCTAGATGGAAGGAAATGTAGGTGGGCCGAGTGCACCTGCCCTGCAGACACCGGAGGGCTGCACAGCATGGCATCTGGGAGTGATTTCCCAGCTGAGGCCCTCTCTGTGCCCTCACAGCTGCCTCTCGGTCACTTCCTCAGTAGCTACTGGTGTGTGTGCGCGTGCACGCGGGGAAATGTCATGTGACCTGGGTGTAGCCCTCTGCAAAGGAGAGCACTGCAGTGTTGTGGCCATGTGGCCTTACACAGTGACCTCTACACAGGGCCATTTCTCAGTGCGTTGCCCATGTCCAGTAAGGACCTATGGGAGACCACTTGCTCCCTGCTCAACCCACTGGGAGCAGTGTCTGCAGAGGAGTTCCCTTGCTGTGTGGGCCTTTTGTCCAGGTGGAGGTCAGAGGCCTGGGTTCACCACAGCTGCCCTGAGGCTCTGGGAACAGGAGCATTTCTTGCCTAGGTCAGGTCATTATGTTGCTCTTATCAAAGGTTTTAGAAAAATGCCTGCAAATACTCCCTTGAGAAAGCAGAGTGACTGTGAGAGAAGCTAGAGGCCAGTGAGGAGGCCACAGCCTCCTGCCACCTCCTCCTTGATCAAGGCCCCTTGGAGGCTCTGCTCCCCTCCCCCAGACCTGTACAGTGGTCCTGGAAGGCTTGGCACCATCCACCTTCAGTCTCATGTGATGGAGGACCTAGGCCTGCCGGCTGCCACCAGCCCTGTGTTCACTGTAGCTTCCTCAGAAACAGGCAGGGTGGAGGCAACGGTGCTTCAGGAACTGTGACTTCAGTCCAGGGCTGGACACTCAGACAGGCTCCCACACGGCTAGAGCCTTCACCCTTGCAAAGCCGTTCTCTCTGAAGCCTTCACCCCACTAGATGGGGCCCCCTTGGTTGGACGTTTTCCCTGCGCTGAGTCTACTGACCTAGGTTCTGTCTAATATACCATGGCTACATCCAGAATGCTGTGTCCAGGCTAGTGCCAGAGCCTGGCCACATGGTCACTAAAGCTCCACCATGGGCCATGTCACCCTGTGCCACACAGTCTCCTCTGATCTTCCAGCTTCTTTGGGGGATGATGGCTGTACCAACAGCCATGCCAATGGGTCCAAGTGCAGGAAGCCGGGATGGCTCCTTCCTTCTGTGATTTTCTTAGCACTACCTGTGCTTTCCAGAACTACCTGGCTACTCCAAGATACTCTAAGTACTGCTGGGCTCCAGGTCCTGGCATCACCCTGGTGCAAGTGGGCAGGAGCCTGCACCAGAGTCCGAGACACGGACAGACTGACTGTGGCTAGCACAGAGGGGCTGGGGGCCAGGTCTGCCACGGTTGAAGAGTAGCACTGCAAATGATCAAGAAAGGGGATGTAACACAGCCAGGAAACCCCACACTCAACACAGGTTAGCAAAGGGCAGGTGCTGCTGCCCAGCTCTGTTCCAGACCATGCTGACCACATGCCAGCCCTGGTTCTGGTCCTGGACGCTGCTGTGGCCACTTCCCTCCAGCCTGTAGCCTCTGTGCATCACTGGCTGCAACCAGCTCTGGTCTCAGGGCTGCAAGCCCAGTGTTGGTGTGCCATGGTGGTCTCCAGAGCTGGAGAAGAATCCCTTCCGAGCATCCATGGTGGCGGGCTGTTTTGGGGTCCTTGCACTGGGGAGCCCGTCAGCAAGACAGCAGGAGGCTACGTTCGTGCACAGCGTCCTCAGAGGTGCTGTGCTTACCTTTCCTGATGTTCTGGGTAGGCCCACAAGTGACTCTGTGGTGTCCGCCCCCGTGGGCTTGCATTTCCAGCCCCTGGAGCTGTGGTACTCCGTTTTAGAGACGGTGTGGCAAGCAGGTGGTGCACAGTGAGCAGTACTGTAGTAGAGCTGGGGTGGTGGAGGGGTAGCCCAGCCAGACAGCCGAGACCAGCCGGGCAGCAGTGGGGTGGCGGCCGAGCTCTGTCAAGCTGTCATGGAAAGGAGACTACAGCCCCCCTGGCTGGGGGCTGTGTGGCTGTGAGAAGCTCTGGGCAGGCCCTTCCCCAACCGATCCTGAGGGTCTGCCAGGGGCCCCTGTGCCACAAGCTGAGGTGAGGAGCCACACCACCACCTGACCTGAGAAGCCTGCCAGACGGAAGGTACCACCTGGCCTTGTTCTCTGAGTAGCGTGCACTAAGCACGCATCAGGCCGGGAACATTTCTGCCAGGAGGGGGCAGAGCAGGCTGCTCCACCAGGACCCAAATGAAGGGCAGGACCCACATTTCGGTTCTCCTCTCCTGCCTAGGTCAGCGGTTTCCAGCAGGTGCCACTCAGACAGCTCTGTGGGAATCAAGGGTTTGTGGTTGGGTGTGTGTTGGGGTGAAATTTGTGTGTTGGGACATGGGGTCTGGATTAAGGAAATGGGATGTAGGTCTGGGTTAGTGATGTGCAATGGGGATCTAGGGTTAGGGATGTTGGGGTAGGGTTAGAATTAGAGACATAAGCCGGGTGTGGTGGCGCATGTCTTTAATCCCAGCACTTGGGAGGCAGAGGCAGGCAGATCTCTGTGAGTTCGAGGCCAGCCTGGTCTCCTGGTCTCCATAGCTAATCCAGGCCAACTGGGGCTATAGGGAGACCCTGTCTCAAAAAAAAAAAAAATTAGAGATGTTTATTAATGTTCGGGGTTATGGTTATGGAGGTTAGGGTTCAGTTAGGGTTAAGGATTTTGATTTTTGATTATGTTTCATCCTTGTGAGTATAGAGTTGGTGATTGGCTTTAGTGTTGGTTAGACTATTAGGAGCGTGGGTGTGGCCAGCCTAAATTAGGGCATTGTGGCAGGTTTGGGACATGGGGAGGTCTCAGGAGTGGACAGGACAACACACCCCATAATCACAGCCTCTGCTCTGCCCAGGCTGGCCAAGAAATCCTGGCTCGGGAACTTCATCAACCTGGAGAAGGAGGAGCAGATCTTCGTGGTGATCAAGGACAAGCCCTTGAGCTCCATCAAGGCTGACATTGTTCACACCTTCCTGTCGGCGAGGCCACGGTAGAGCTAGGTGGACACCTATGGACTCAACCCTTCAGGCAGATCACAGGGCTTCCTATTCATGTCAACCCCGGACACCCACCCATCCTAGTGCTTTTCTGCCTGAACCACCACTGTCCACCCAGGGCCTTGCCCTGTGGGAGTTGCACAGCTCTGGGAGTGGGGAGCCGCCTGTGGCTGGGCTTGGCTTCAGGCAAAACCTCCCAGATGGAGGGTCAAGCACAGGTGGCCACACAATTCAGAGAGGCGGTGACCCTGAGGGACCCGTGTGGGGTCTGATGACCCTCAGGACAGCCTGAGGCCCAGAGCCTGTCTCCCTGTCACTTCTTTGTTTGAGGTCTTGTGGCCCCTAGACTGCTTGCAAAGGCTTGTGGTCTCAGGGCATGGGCTCTCTTTGTCCTGAGGAGCAGAAAGGCCACTAAAGCCTAGAGAGGAGAGACTTTTCTAGCCAGGATGTGAGCTTCCAGAGTCTCCTCAGAAGGCCTTCTTCCTCCTGACTCCTGTGGAACCTGCCTTGTGCTAGGCCAGGCTTCTCTGGGGTTTTCGTTAGCATCTGCCTCCCACCCCAGTACCACAATATGCTGGCCTTTGGCCTAGGGGAGTCATCCTGCCCATAGTCACCCCATCAGAGGGTGCCCTCCTTGCCCAAGAATGGACCCCACTCCAGGGAACTCTTGCCCCACTGGATACTCTGCCCTTGGGTCCTTCAGGCTACTATGTCTGTGGCTATAGTTGAAGGGTTCCTGTAATACCCTGGGGACAGCTTCCAGAGGCCTAAGGCCAGTCCAGACCAAGTGGACACACAAGATTAGCCACAGACTCCTGGGCTGTGGCATCCCACTAATAGCCCTACCCTTTGGGTCTTAGCCTGTGTCCTCCTCACACCTGTTTACTGCATCCTTCGCAAGGCTCCTGGGTCACCCGCCCTCATACTGACCAGAGTCCTATATGCTGGGGTGACCCTGTCTGCCTTCCAGTTTTGCTCTTGCTGCTGTGAAGCTCATTTGGCCAGCCCTGTGGACTCACATAGAGGGCAACATAACACAGCTTGGAAAAACGCGGCATAGGGGACAGTCTCCCCTACCCCCTTCCAACCTAGGGTTTGCATGGACCCTGGGCTGGCTGGGGCCATGGGGGCTCTGATGTGAGTTTCTCTCTGACTTTGTTCGTCTCCTGTGCCACACTTGGTTCTCAGAGCTGGAGATGGCTTGGAGGGTTGGATATATGGCCTGGTGTCCACGTAGTGCTGGCTCTGGGGCCATCTCCCCAGAGAGCCAGGGGTGGGTTAGCGGGGACTGCCGGGAGGCTGTGCTCATGCTGGCCCTGTGCATACCGCAGATCCCCAGCCTCAGCCACAGCGTCATCTCCCAGACAAGCTTCCGGGCTGAATATAAGGCAACGGGGGGCCCAGCTGTGTTCCAGAAGCCCGTCAAGTTCCAGGTGGACATCACCTACACAGAGGGTGGCGAGGCCCACAAGGAGAATGGCATCTACTCAGTCACGTTCACCCTGCTGTCGGGTGGGCCGCACATCTGGGGCTCCAGGCCCACAGTCACTGGCCCTGCCAGAGACCCGACCACCTATCTTTCCCACAGACCCCAGCCGCCGTTTCAAGAGGGTGGTAGAGACCATCCAGTCCCAGCTGCTGAGCACCCATGACCAACCATCAGCCCAGCACCTGTCAGGTGAGGCGGGAGCTCAGCCCAGCACCTGTGGCTAGTGCCATTTGGATGGGAGGTTCGAGGACCGGACATGGCCTCCTACTCTGATGGATGCCCACCTCCCTGCCCCGAGCCATGCTGCACCCCTCAGGGAGCAGGGCCCCTCCCTGGGCATCCACACTGAAAGGCACCTCTTGTCCACCGTAGAACCCCCCCCGCCAGCGCCAGGACTAAGCTGGGGTGCTGGGCTTAAGGGCCAGAAGGTGGCCACCAGCTACGAGAGTAGCCTCTGACGCTGGCAGGTAAGGTGTCCGGCCTACTGCCGGGGAGGGGAGGGGCTGTGGGCAGGGCCTCCTGCAAGAGCCAGGCTTGTCCCAAGAGTGACACCCTGTGCCCACCCACCAGGCCTGGCCCTGGACAGGCCTGCAGGCTCAGCACCCAGGCAGCTGGACACAGGGTAGCCTGAGCAGGCTCTGGGAATAGGGACCAAGACCCTGACCACCTGACCGTCAGGGCTCCCCCTATAGCACTCCATGAGGGCCGGGACTCCCCATCTCCATGCTGCTGTCCCCCAGAACTCTGCATTAAGCAGGATGGGATCTGAGGCCTTGGCCCCAGCAGGCGCTCAGGAGGGTGCCCAAGCTGCTGGGTGTCTCTGGGAGGAGGCAAAACCTGTGTGCCCAGCCTGTGTACTAGCACACATATGGGACCCATGTATCAGTGACGGGTTGGTGGTACAGGATCTGGGATATCTTAATGAAGGGATGGGCTGATGGTGTGTGGCATGTAAGGGACCTGGGGGAGATGGGGTGTAGCCCAAGGCCAGCTTCTCTGAACCCCACAGCCAGCAGGGCCTTATTTCGTGCTTGCTGTCTCCACAGCTGGGGCCTGTGAAGGTCGCCTCTTACACGTGTGTGGGGTCCGGCTTCTCCACCTGTCCCCCATTTCATTCCATTCTCATTCCATTGCCTGTGGATGTGCCCCCAACATGGGCCTCATCACCCTCTGGTGGGTGGGGCTGGAGCCCCCAGCAGCCCTGGTCTCACTCAGCTGCACAGGAGAAAGGCTGGTGTGGTGGGCAGGGAGCAGGCAGGGCTAGGTGCTCCACGGGCACCATCCTCCAGTCAGCTCGACCTCGGTTTTTTGAGGATTCAGGCCTCCATCTTAGGGGAAAACTAAGACTTGGGAACAACCCCAGTGCTAGTGGGAAACCGAAGGCCAGGAATGGCAGGTGGCTGAGGTGGAGGCGGGCTGGAGGTGTCCAGGGCAAGTCAGTTCGGGGTCTGGCCTGGTTGCCAGGGTTCTGCCTGCTTAGCTGACGCAGCCTTCCTCCACTCCCGGGTCTTGGACAGCTCCCCAAGCTGTCTTGTGAGATATTCTGTCACATCCCCCTCCCACGTCCCAGGCTTCACAGGGAGTATGGTGGCCGTGGCCAGCACAGGGCTCACCCACCAGTGCTGTCCTGCCAGACATGACCTAGGCAGAGCCTACCCTTGAGACCCTTGAGACTTCTGAGCCCTCACTCTGGGACCTCAGCCTGTCCCCCCATGGCCCCTCACTGTCTCCTGGTGGCCTGGTCTGTCTCACCATGCTTCCACACTGGATACCTGTCCAGTGAGCTTAGCTCCAGAGTCCCTGCTGGTGCTGAGCCAGAGTGTAACCCTCCGGGAGACCTGGCTGTCACCCAGACAGGGACTCCACAGTGCGAGGAGGCCAAGCGGACATGCCCCAACCTGTGAGGGTGCTGAGGGATAGTCTTGGGTCTGCTGCCACTGCCAGCAGGCCCAGCCTGGCAGGAGAGGGCCAGTGACAGAGCCAAGAAGAAGCAGGAGGTGAATCGGAGCCAGTGGTCAGTGAGGTGTAGGCAGTGTACAGGCAGCCTGTATAGATCATGCCAGAGCAGGAGCTATGTCTAGCTCACGGGAGACAGGGCCAGACCAGGGAAAGGCCGTGTACCGTCTAACGGTTTTGGCTGTTGGAAGATGACCCTCCACTGTCTGTCTGGTTCCCACCCAGGTGTAGTGTGGGGTGCAGGGACTGCTTAGACTGATCCTCACTGCTCCCAGCTCTGCCCCTCCTGGGCCTGCTTGTCCTGTCACTCAGCCTCCCAGGTTCAGCTTCTCGGCTCTTGGCAGCTGGTCCACCTGTAGTCACCCCCGCTCTGTGGCCCCATCCCCTTTGGCCTCTGCCCATTCCTGGCTTCTGCCCTCTCTCAGCTTGACTGGGGACAGATGGCCAGCCAGCCCTAGGTGGCACGCTGTGCAGCCTGTTCACTCTCTCCCTCCCTCTCTCCATTCTGTGCTCCAGACACCACTAACTGTATGGAAGTGATGACGGGGCGGCTTTCCAAATGTGGTAAGAACCCTCACGCTCACCTGGCCCCTAGCCTGCCACTGCCACTGTGTGCCCCGCAGCCTGCCCCACTGCCCCTGGGCTGTCCGGGTTCCCCTGTGCATACACAGGCATCGGACCACCTGCCACCTCCGGCTCCATCTTTTGCCAAGAATGGTCTTGACCACTCACTCCCTACTCCTCATCCCTACACTCAGGCCAAGCTGAGGAAGGACCCCAAGGCTCAGAGCAGAAAAGGGTCCTCATGGCCCGAGGCCACCTAGAGTCCCACAGATAGCACTGGCTTGGGGGCAGAGGGGATGCTTGTCTACAGAAAGTGCCCGGCAGGTGAGGAGTCTACAGCACTGGGCTTAGATGGAAGTCAGATGAGGGAGTGGAATTTAAGTACCTGGCTGGCACAGCCAAGTAGTGAGCACAGGCCCAGGAGGTTGGTGGGGGCAGGGGGTCATCCGTCTGCCCTGTTTGTCCTGCCTTCCGAGACCAGAGGCCCAGCCCTAGCTGCCTGTCCCCAAGCCCCTGCCTGCCTGCCTGTGCCTTCCATGCCTGTCCACCTGCCATCCATCTGTCTGTCTGCTGCTGAACTATGCTGGCCAGGGCCAGGCTCTCCTTGTATGCTGGGTACTGGCTCCAGCTTGCTCATCCCAGAGCAAGCATCCCCCCACTGAGCAGCAACCAACCCCAGGGTCTGACTTAGCCCCAGCCTTTACCCTGGTATTTCTACAATTGGGGTTAGCTCATGTGGCTGAGACCTGGGAAGGCCCAGGACCTTCGGGGTCACACCTGGTGTGGGAGGAGTCGCACTGCCTGCCCTGGGCCTCAGTTTTCAGAAGCAGTCCTAGGTGCCCATGTCATCTTGGAGGTGTGGAGGGTCCAAGTGTCTGCTCTGCAGCACCAGCCACCTCCCCACCCACCCCCGCACCGCCGCTGGCACTAGGCCCCCCACTGGCCGCCTGCCCGCCCTGCCTGCTGTCCCTGCTAGTCTGTCTCAGACTTCATCTCGCTGGATTTTTCTTTCTCTCGTCGATGCCCTTTCGTTCATTTGTTTGTTTGTTCTTTCTCTCCTTCCCTCCTTTTTTCCTTCTCTCTCTCTCTGTCTTCTGTTCTGTGTATACAGGCACCCCATCGAGAAACTTCTTTGACATATTTAAACAACTTTTTTCAGACGAGAAGAACGGGCGGGCGGCCCAGGCCCCCAGCACACCCGCCAAGGGGAGTGCCGACGGCCCCTGGGGTGACTCCGCGGCCGCTGGCCCTGGAGGGGACACCGAGTACCCAATGGGCAAGGACATGGCCAAGACGGGGCTGCCCACCGTGAGCAGCCTTAGACACTGGTCCCTCCCCAACACAGCACAGCACTGACCGCGGCCATCTGCCGCCACCCCGTGTGGACCAGGCCCCTCCTGCCTGCCCAGACCTTGTCTCCAGCCTGGGAGGAAAGAAGAGTGGCCAGGCCTGGCCGCAGGCCGAGCCTCTGGGCTTGCTCTCTCTTCTCTCGTGGTCTCTGTCTCTGCCTGTCTCTGACGGCATCGCTTGTTTCCGCTCTGATACCAGGAATTATCCCGAAAAGTTAACATGTCACCTCCACGAGGCCACCCTCTGTGCTGCGTGTGGACACTGGCTGACCGAAGGCAGCTGCTGTGGACTCCCCTCTCTCCTGCCGCTGCCATTGCTGCCGGGCGGAAAGGCTGGCCCACTGCCCACCCTCCGCCTGTCCCAGGCAGCTCCGCATGGCCCACAGGGGGAGGGCCCGGATCCCAGGGGATGCCTCCACCAGCCCAGTTGCCCTGGACTCCCAGTGACCAGTCCTGCCCACCACCGTCCAGGGCGGGGGATGGTGATGGGTGAAGCAGTGAGGATGGACTGTCCACCGGCCTCCATGCCGTACCTGGAGGCCTCCTGGGTCACCCACCTCGCCTCCTCCGACCTTGGCCTCACCAGGGCCTCCTCTCACCTGCGTCTCCTGCTCCACCTCGCTAGGCTGTTGGTTCTCTCGGGCCGAAGTGGAAACAGAGACCCCGGGTGCCCCAGAGCTGCCAGGCTGTGAGGGCTGGGCTGAGACCAGTGTGATTTATTTGCTGTTTTAAATTTATTGAGTTTCTTTACCTCTCTGCTCTCTGTTCAGGGAAGGGGAAGCAGTATCTGTCTGTCTGTCTGTCTCTTCTGACTCGGGCAGGGTGGGTCTGGAGCCCGGGTTCCCTCTAAGGACAGAGTAGTTGGGGGGCTGGGGACAGTGGGGGACCGACCAGTGGATTGCAGCACTGGCAAGCTACTGTAAACTTTAAAGAATTCCTGCAAGATATTTTTATAAACATTTTTTTTCTTGGTTGTTTTTGGAAAAGGGATGTGGGGGTGGGGGGGAGCCACTGGGACAGAGCTAGATTTTGTGTTTCGATTCCTTGCTCTTGGTTATTTCTGTACACACACACACACACACACACACACACACACACACATTTAAAGAATGATGCAGCTAGCTCTGTCCCAGGTTGTTTTATTACTGTTCAGCAGCAGCTCCAGTTCCAGGCCCAGGTTATGAGGCACCGGCCTGCAGCACACACTGATCCCACCCATTGACAGTTACTCCCCCAATGCTGGTGGCAGCACTGAGCCCATGAGCCTGTAGCCCTTAGTGAACAGGTCCCCAGAGAGAACTACAGTCCCCATAGGCAGTGAAAGCTTGGCCTGAGTTCTCGAAGGGCTACTAGTCAAGCCAGGAGATAGACAAGATTGCCAATGTCTCTGTCCCTGTCATACACATGGCTAAGTCTGTGCCAGTCAGAAGTCTGGCCGGTGGCCTCCTCAGGGTGATCAGGTGAAGGCCTGAAGAGGCTGCTTTTGTGCCGTCAGGCCAGCTGGACAACAGACAGGCACTTCTGGGCACTGACCACACAGTATGTGGTGCAAGGAAGTCTCCACCAACCCCTGAACTGCCAGTGGGCACCCACATGGAGCGCTGTCTGATATGAAGCTCAGGATGAGGGTCCTGAGGAGTCCGATGGTAAATATTCCCACAGGAGAGGTGAGCCTCCTGTTCGAATTTAACAACTAATCTCTTCAGTGGTAAACATTAGGACTAAAATGTAAGATGCCAGCTGGGTGTAGTGGTGCACACCTTTAATAAACCCAGCACTTGGGAGGCAGAGGTAGGCAGATCTCTGTGAGTTTGAGGCCAGCCTACATAGTAAGTTCCAGGCCAGCTGGGGCTACAAGGAGACCCTGTCTTAAAAAGACGAAAATAAATAAATAAAAATTAAATACTTAAAAAATGTAAGATGCAAACTCTATACTGGCAAGAAGTCTCGTGACCAGCAACAGTCGCTTCTGACTAGAAACGCTCAAGAAGAGGTTCTGCAGCAGGCTGCGAGGGGATGCACAGTGGGCGAATCAAAGGCAGACCCTCTTCTGGTGAGGCCAGCCACTGCCAGGAGCACAGGACTGCATAGAACCTACTACAGGGGTCACAACAGACCAGGAAAGTGAAGGCAGCACAGATCCAGGCACAGGAATCCTGTCTCAGAAACAGCCTCCTTAGGAGCGCCCACCCTGCTCCACAGGGGTGAGAGGAAGCTGGAGCGCCCTGCAGGAGAAGGACTGCACAAAAGTCACGACTGCCAGGGCCAAACCTCCTCCCAAACGGGTGGGGGGGGGGTCTGTGTTAGTGCCGAGCAAGGGGGCTGCTCTTCCTGGAGGGACTCCAAAACGGCCAGCCAGTCCAACAGATATTCCAAAAAGTCAGATGCATAATCACCATGTGACTCAGCCACTTCTCTCCTGGGCATCCAACAGAGAAATGAAAATTATATTTAAAAGGTGTGACGTGAGTGGAGGGAAAAAGGTGTCTGTAAGAAACAGCGCTGGGTGTCCTGAGCCCGACCTCACATGCAAATGCACCAGAGAAGGAAACACAGACAAGCTCAGGGCTGCATCTGCAAAGCTTACGACGGTTCTCACAATACAAACAGCACTAATCAAAGGAAAAAAAACAGATGGAAAAATTTACAGATGCACGTAAGATTCTTTTTGAAATATTCTTAAAAAATGAACGTACTAGCTGAGCGTGGTGGTGCACGCCTTTAATCCCGCACTCAGGAGGCAGAGGCAGGCGGATCTCTGTGAGATCGAGGCCAGCCTGGTCTACATAGTGAGTTCCAGGCCAACTGGGGCTACAAGGAGACCCTGTCTCAAAAAGAACCCCCCCAAAAGAATGTACTCGGTAAGTCATAGAATATGTTCCTGACCAGACTCTTACCTAAAGTAAGTACAGAAATCCTGCAATTCAATTTAAAAAGGCAATCTACTCTTCAAGAAGGACAGAAGACTGAACTGACACTTTGGCAAAGGCAGACCCGTGCACAGCCAGTTACGCACAAGGAAGTGCCCAGGGGAGCTAGTCGCTGGAGAAGTGCACGGCCTACGACCCACATCACGCTGCCTGAGACTTAGGGAACAGCTCAAGTCAAACAGACTGCAAATGCTGGAAAACGATGGAGGAGGCAGGCGACCAGAAAGCTAACCACACTGATGGGACAGGAAACGGAACTGACTAATGTGGGAAAGAGTTGGCAGTTTCTTTTCAAAGTTAAACTGAGCCAGTAATTCCACAGCTAACCCTAACCCAGAGAAAACAAGTCTGTCCATATAAAGACTTGTGTGAGAACATCCCGGCAGGGCTATCCACAACAAAGACCTGGAAACAGCCCCAAAGCCCATGAGCAGAAGAGCGCAGGACAAACTGCCGTACGCTCATGCCATGGACCACTGGGGAGATGGAACCCTTGGTTAAGCCAAGATAGCATTAGGAGGCATGCCAAGAATAAAAGAGCGGAGACCATGGGTTCCAGTCATATCTTCTAGAAGAAGGCTGGGCCTGGGGCCACATGTCTGGAATCTTAGCACCAGGGCAGCTGAGGCAGGAGGGTCACAAGTCCAAGGCCAGCCTGGGCTGCAGAGGGAGCTGGGTTTCAACAAAATGAAAATCAAAACCAAATCAACAACAAAAGAGTCATCAAATTAGTCTTGGATAAAATAAAGTCAGAACAGCAGCTGCCTCTTGGGAGAGGGAGTGTGGGGGGCACTACCCTGCTGAGAGAGGGGGTGGGGGCACCACCCTGCTGGGGGGGCAACACCCTCCTGGGAGAGGGGGTGGGGGCACCACCCTACTGAGACAGCCCGTGTCCTGTGTCTCTAACGGGCAGCTCCAGAACACACCCTCAAAAAGCCCTGACACTTGAGACTTGTGACTGTCACTGCTTAGACTTCAGGTGTCGGGTTTTTAAAGGCCAAGCTTGTATAAAGGATGGGCGAGAACACCGAGAGAAAGTGGTGAGACCGAAGGGGCTCCAGACCTGAAGCGCGCACCAGAAAGGGACACGTGTGGCCAGATGCCACGTCGAGGTGCTGGGTGGTCACTGGAGCACGACAAGGAAGAAGTGCTCTGGGAGACTGCTTTAGACAGAGCCAGATCATTCCAGCAGACTTGAGCAACACTGGTGTGTCCTAAACACTCATCCTTCCCCCCAAATTCCCAAGGAGAAGCCCAAAGCCCCAGCACCACTATGTTGGGAGGTGGGATCTTGAAACTAGATCACTAGGCAGAAGCCTGGCCCTCTGGGTAGCCCAACAAGAATAGGAAGAGCCCAGGCAGAAGCCGAGGGGGGCTTCTCGCCCCATGGCAGACCCCAGCAGCCACACTGCTGTGGGAAGGCACTCACAGAGCGCCTGACCACCAGTGAAAAGAATCTGAACAGGGCGAGTCCCAGATCCAGATCTGGACACCAGCAGAGGAATCAGCACACAGGATGGAGACACAGGAAATACAGGGGAGCAGCCTGTACTTTCTAGATACATGGGAGGAGCAGGGCAGGGATAGGACCTCAGTGAGAGCTCTACTCAGTAACAGGAGGTGAGGCCTGCCTGGCTACTGCCACAGAGCCAACACCACCTTCTGGCCTGATGGGATCTCTGGTATACAGGAGACGGACAAGGAGGCTGGCTGACAGGAACACTGGATTCTCTGCGCTGGTTTTGCAGTTTCTTGCAAGTTTACTCAAGATAGTATTGGATGATTCTAGCCTTCTGTCTGCTGGAAGGAGTCTTGTTCCAAGGGCGGGAGAAAGGCCTGCTCTTGGGATTGTACCATCAATTTACTTCAAAATACAAAGCTAAAAAGAGAGACTCACAATCTGTTGGGAGCCTGAGTCTCGGCATGTTGGGAGACGTCTCAGCATGTTGGTAGACTGAGTCTCAGCGCTTCTTAAAACTGCTGACAGACCTAAGCTGGCTACTTTCCATTCTGCCCGCAGCCTTGGCCCAAAACATTGGCAGGCAGCCTGGGCCCAAAACCTTGGCTCACAGCCAGG